TTCTATTTTTTTATGGTTTGCCATATGCAGACTTGGCTATATGCTATCATATACAAAATTATATTTGTCTATGATGCTATCTAGCTTTTACCATAGACAATAAAGAATTCTTTTTGTCTATGCTTTTATCCTATTCTGAAGACACTACAAACAGCACAACAAACGCTAATCGTTGCTAAATACTGTCCAAGTTATCCTTTACGGTAGACTACTACTTACTGATTATAGATGTGTTTAATCGATTAATATAACTTGAAAAAGTTTATCTGTCCCCGTAGACGATAGCGATAAAAATCAAATAATTGAAGTGATTTTATATAGTCAACTTATTATCTTATTAAGTAAATGAATTAAAACCAATATAGCTAGGTACCGGTATCCTGATTACTTAACTAAAAGTTATGATAATCTATTTCATGAAATATTAGTTCAGCATTTATCCAAAATCGTATAAGTTATTTCGTACCTTGGGCCGGAAATGAGTATGAATCTCAACTCTCGACTCTCTAAACGATGATTTGAACAAAGCTGTAAGTTATTGACAAGGATAATCAAAGGACTAACCTCATGAATAATTAACGATTATTTGTCAACATTATCTAATCATTATTTCAAATTAAAATGCTTTGCTCCGTTATAAAATGTCGAATATATATGACAACTTTGCGAAACAGTACAAATGGAGTTACAGAAAGTTACAGTTACTTAAATCTTTTAGTTCAGACATCGTTGTTTTAAATCATCAACGTTATACTTCGATCGTATTTCAATAAGTTATATATATGATGAAATGCTCTACTTAATGCAACACGATTAACACAATTTACTCAAAATAATATAACATTGCAACAATGTTTTTTTTTATTTAAGCCTACATCACTATCCTAAATATTTGTGCTTCGTTTCGTCCCCATACGGGAAGAATGAGCGTACACCTAGTTTGCAGTGGCCTATATTATGGACCGTGGCCCACTGGGTTGTTAACATTATTGAAAATAACACGACATTTCGGCTGTAAAAAAAGGCATAAATAGTAAATACTATTTAATCAACTACTTCAAGTATATTCCACTACACCGAACTTTCCGTAGATGAATTAGCGTAAGCCTAGAAAGTAACCGTCGATTTCGACGGGTTTCACCTAGTTAAGCTAAATAAAAGTGGTGGGGAACCCAGTAAACCTTCCCCTTACATCACCTAGATTTTGTAAACAGACTTTAGCCAATATATTTTTCTTTAAAATATAATTTTTTAGTATGTTGTCACAAATTTACTTGTTGATTATTGTTAAGCTTATAAAGATGGCCAAGTCCATTGTTGTAGGTAGCCCTGTAGTTGCATGGTGTTCCCGTAAAACGAATTGAGATAGTTGGGTTCAGCAGGTTATTTAACCTCATTTAAGCTACTTTTTACAACGACTGTGCTCTCAAACGCCACAGGAAAAACTTAATTCCCTAAGTTTATAAGTTTATAGAGATTATAGGTATATTGAAATTACTTTTAAAGGTAATTTTGACTTAATAATTGCATTTTTCTACGGTTACCTACACACAGAGTAGCTGATTCTGTGTATTTACTTACCTTTCCACCATCATTTCACTTTCTTGCACACATTTTACTTCCTGGCACTGCATTATTTCAACCAAACCACACAAAATAGTGTGCATGTGTTAAGTAGGTACTTAATATCATTGACTATATAACACTAAAAACCTTACTTCAATAAGTGGTCAAATTAAGGTTTTATTCTAAAATGAATAAGATGTAACAACCTATTTGATACAGCAGAACAAAGGAACAGCATTATCCTCTTCCACCTTCTCATCTCGGGAGTAGCAGCTTGTCAAAATATACTTTATTCATTACTAGCAGCTATATCCGTGCCAACGGGGTCAGTATGCAAAAGGGACAATGTTGGTTCTTTGAAAATGACTTAAAAATGGTTTCACAAACGCAGCACACCTGTACACTGAACGTTTGAATTCTCCACTATTAATATGTAAACATAAAAAGTAAAAACGTTTATAAAAGTATTATAAAAATTAAATGGGATAGCACTGCCTAAATATCTTTATCTTTTGTTCTATACCCACACAATCTAATATAAATTATTAAGTGAAAAATATTTGTGTGAGCTATGTCAGGTATTCAAATGTCTCCCAATTTTTCACTAACCCACCACATTACTGTCATTAAAAGATAAGTATTAAGTTAATTTGGAAATATTTACATAACTTCAGTTTTAGTTGACTACTCAATTCCCGTACATAGGACGGGCCAACAGCTCGTAATTTAATAATAATTTAATTTAATTTAAAAATAATTTAAATCCAACTGGTTTAGGGCAGGTTATGGACTTTTAATCTATAATAAAAATATTGGTTTTTTTCGAGTCGGTTTGAGTTGGTTGGTGGTCTTTACCTGACTGATTTTCATAATTTTTGTCTTAAATTAAAGGTATATAAGCACAGATTTGCCATCAAGCATCGACATTCATTTATCTGACCTCCCTGCACATTTCTTATGGGAGTTAAATTTGGTTTTTCTTTTCGAGTTTGTTTGACTTTTCTACCCAACCGATTAATCTATGCAAGCACAGATTTGCCATCAACCATCATCTTTTATTTATCTACTACTAGCTGTAACCCGCGGGCTTTGCCCCGTTTAACTTCTTAATTTTCAAGATTATCTCGTTCGCATGGCTCAATCACGTCCTGGTTGAAGTTTGTTCGCTACGCTCACTCACCTTTAGGTTGGAGCTCGTTCGCTGCGCTCACTTGCCTTCAGGTTAGCTCGTTCGCTACGCTAACTCGCCTCCAGGTTGAAGTTCGTTCGCTACGCTCACTCACCTTTTGGTTGCAAATTAGCTGTTGTCATAAATGTAAAAGAAATAATAGTGCTGCACCCTGTTGGTAATCCTTGTAACTTTAATGCTATTGAACATCATAGAACAGAACCAACTTGTTTAATTGAAACAGCTGTTAAGATTCAATAATTCCATTTCTCATAAGGTTAACATGGGAAACTCCAGAGCCACTGGGGCGGAGCCCGAAAGGATTTTTGAAATAAGAATATGCCTATATGTTAATCGGGAATGTGAGCTATCATCATGCCAAATTTCAGCCCAATCCGACCAGTATTTTTCGAGTTTACTTTTCCCATACACACATACACACATACAGCAACCACCTCTTTTTTATAATAGTATAGATAGATAGATAGATATTATTCGACCAAAAAACAAAAATTTGATTTTTTTTATAATATTTACTTCAATTAAAGATGTATTTCAGCAGTTCTAAATACATTTCAGTGAGATACCAGCTTTTATTAGAGCTATTGATTATTAAGATCGGTCATACCTGAAGCATGCTGCTGAATAACGAATCAACAATAATTATAATTATTTTGGGACTTATCTGCAATCAATTAGTTTACCCAAGGCAGCAATGTCGTGGGTTTGGATTCTGGTCACTGCCAAAAACATTTTATCAGTACAGATCACCTTTGTACTGTACCGGCTCACCCTGTTTTGCTGTATACGATCCAAGCATGGGCGGTTAGTCTATGTGGACGAACAAATGCAAGGTTAAAGAAGGCCGCCAACCTCTTATAAAAAATTATCCGTAGCTGCATTTCTATTTTAGTTATGTTAAATGTCTTGGTCTTAAAATACTCCCCTAGAAATTAAGGCTTTTATTCAATTGAATCAGTTAAGTTTAAGATACAGTATTACTTAATCAAAAACTAACATTTTATTATTTCTCAAATATTTAATTTAATTTTAGATATATTTACACAATTCTAAATACTTATCCTTCATGTTTTGAGCTGAGAACCTTCAATGAAATATCAGCTTTCATTTGAGTAACTGAATAATGATTACTAAGATCGGACATACCTAAAGCACGCTGCACCCAAATTGTTCCAATAAGGAGTTATTTATCATCGGTTGTTAGTTAAATGATTTTGCTTGAAACCTTAAAAGTAACCATCGATTTTGACGGTTTTCACCTAATTATTTTTGATTAATATTTAAATAAAAATTGCATAAAAATAAAGTTGCATTTACTGATAGATATAAATCTAATATATAAAATTCTCGTGTCACAGTGTTTGTCTGCAAACTCCTCCGGAACGACTTCACCGATCGTTATGAAATTTGGTGTGTAAATTCTATAGGTATGCGAATCGAACGTAAACTATTTCCCGTTTCGAAATTCTTAAAAGGGCTCCTCCCCAGTGGCTCTGGAGTTTCCCATGTTAACCTTATGAGAAATGGAATTAATGAATCTTAACAGCTGTTTCAATTAAACAAGTTGGTTCTGTTCTATGATGTTCAATAGCATTAAAGTTACAAGGATTATCAACAGGGTGCAGCACTATTATTTCTTTTACATTTATGACAACAGCTAATTTGCAACCAAAAGGTGAGTGAGCGTAGCGAACGAACTTCAACCTGGAGGCGAGTTAGCGTAGCGAACGAGCTAACCTGAAGCCAAGTGAGCGCAGCGAACGAGCTCCAACCTAAAGGTGAGTGAGCGTAGCGAACGAGCTCCAACCCAAAGGTGAGTGAGCGTAGCGAACGAGCTCCAACCCAAAGGTGAGTGAGCGTAGCGAACGAACTTCAACCTGGAGGCGAGTTAGCGTAGCGAACGAGCTAACCTGAAGGCAAGTGAGCGCAGCGAACGAGCTCCAACCTAAAGGTGAGTGAGCGTAGCGAACGAGCTCCAACCCAAAGGTGAGTGAGCGTAGCGAACGAACTTCAACCAGGATGTGATTGAGCGATGCGAACGAGATCATCTTGAAAATTAAACGTAACGGTACTTTCTTTCCATCGGTCTGTCTTAGGGGAAACCTATAACTTAGGCGATACGAAGTTCGCCGGGTCAGCTAGTGTCTTAATACAATAATAAAGATTAAAACCTAAATTTCAATGGCATTAAGCACTGAATAGTTCAAAAAAGTTATTTGCTAGAGGGATTGAGAAAATAAAATAATTAGGTCTAGTTATTAGTTTTATATAAAACATACTCTTGATAACAAACACTACAGTTGTATACAAAAAAATTACTGAACACCCATAATTTCAATGTCCAAGTAATGAGCTTAATTAGTGATAATCAAGTTGGGATGTTTATAAAGTCTTAATAACTTCGTGTGACCTGCGGTGATTCTGTCTACTGCACTGCTCAAGTCGATCGAACTCTCTTGGTGATTGTTATGTAGGAAATTTCTCCAATATGAATAAGTTGAGTTTGAGAGTCAACTGAGAAGTGATTTCCTGACATCCTCGTTTGAACAAGATTAACACGGTGGAAGTGATTACATGAACACTCAAACCTAAACCTGTATGAGGTGTTTGGAGACAACTGCACATTTTCACCATCAACATCAACTGGGATGCGTCCCCAGGCTCTTAACTCTCCTTTGAATGTAGCTATGGTATCTGTGCCTCTCCTGATTGATAGGGTGTAGTTGCAATCTGGATCATTGTAGCTACAACGGACAGAACACAATTCTATTGTGGCTTCTCTAGTGGTAAGTGTAAATTCAGAAGATCCCGAAGTGTGTTGATAGCCCTTTTTTACAAACTCTTCGACAATCAATTCAGATTTAACCATAGGACAACCTCGCTTCTTAATCACATTGCAGATAGTAGTAAGTTCAGGCTGTACTTGTCCAGTTCTGCGAGATTCGCTCACTAGTGCTAATTCTTTATATGTCAGTACTTCTGAGGGAATTACCTCCAGAAAGATGGCATCATTGTCCATTGTACACACCCTGATGTGTTTTAGATGATCATTTAGTTGATCCCTCAAAGTTTGGCTATCCGAGTTTCCTGAAATAAGATGTTAATTTGAGATTAAAATAAATCAGTTTTGTAAAGAGGGGAAAATATTCGTATAATACCTTTTAGAAACAAAATTAATCATAGGTTTTTGTCGAATACAGAGAAAATTAGTTTTTCAAACTGTTTTTTTAAGGTATACAATCAAATCCAGAATTTCCTGAATTCGCGCCATCAAAACCTTAACCAATCTTAAATAAACTTACACTGCATGATCAAATCCGAATCAAGCTATAACTTCACTGTCTGCACACTCTGTTATTTACAATCTCCCTAACACTTTAAACCCTAAGCCTATGTTTTGTACTTCTCTGTTAATAATTTTTGTAGGTTATGTCAAAAATAATAAATAAATTAATAATAAATAAATAAATAATAAATTTATTTTAACACAATATGTCTATATTTAACTAAAAAAAAGCAAAAAAAGCAAGATATGTGATGTTGTTCTCTATAATAATGTAAAAAGACGCAAACCAGGCGTTGTGTACAATTCCTATTAACACGTTCGCTACTGAGCGTTGCATATATGCGACGCCACGGTCATTGCCACAGACCGAGGTATACATTTGAATCTTACACATAGACCGGCTGTCACTTGGATAACAGTACACACAGACCATGGGAAAAAACCTGTAAAACAGTGATAATTTACATTGTAATACGCTACAATCGTGTTTGTAAATAATTTATTCTTGTTTTTTTGTATTTGTATAACCTTATGTAATGTTGCATATTTGCGACGCCCAGTCTACAGCAAAGACAATAGTGAAAATTATCATAGTTTTCTTGAAATAGACCAAACGTCGCATATATGCGACAGTTCATTTTTGTTTGTGTTTTGAGGTGAAGGTAACTAAAAAAAAAAACAGATTATTCAAGAACAGTTTACAACTGAACAAATATAAATGCTACATAGGATAATGCAGCATACATACTGCATACATACATACAGTGATGCAGAAAAGTAAAGACCAGTTTTTCCAACTATCATATGACGTCACCAATCATCATATCCACAGACCAAGTGACGCAGTTGTGCGTTAGACATCTCTGTAGACCACTGCAGAGAATTCAGTGCCTTCAAATTGACTGTTACAAAGATATAAGCATTTTAATAACATTAGAACCCCGAAGCAAATATGCGTCGGCAGTCTATTTTAATGTGACTAGCCGTCGCATATATGGAACTGGCCGTCGCATATGTGCGTCGTTGGTCCTTGTGAATGAAAATTTTCATACTATTGCAGTAGCGAAAGTGTTAAACTCAATAATGCCTTCAACTTCCACCCGAGCAGACACCGTTTATTTAAGGTGGGCCTCTCCCGCCAGCTAAGCCACACATTATTGAGCTAAGTATGGATTGCACACGTATGGGATTCACACCAGCGCAGGTAGAGAGTTCTCAACACTACACTCGTCAGTGTAACACCTTAGCCAACTGAGCTATCATGCCACCACCGGCCGAATGTGAAAAGTACCTCTTTAAGCACTAGCGCTCGTAAGTAAGTTTCAACTAACTAACGCCCCAAACTATACTCGGACTAATAAAAATATTAAGTGTAGGATTATTGTTATCAGCTGAGTTATAAAATTATGTATCATCTGCTAGAGCTATCATACAACGTTTTAGTTGGGGGTGAAATAAAGAGAAAACACGCTGACCAGCTGAGAGCAAGAGAAGGTGCAACTGATCCACCTCAATGGAAAATGCAAACGGAACCTGAGGATGAACACGGTTTCGGAAATTCAGCCTAAATTGGGTGGGGAGAAATGTAGGATTATTGTTATCAGCTGAGTTATAAAATTATGTATCATCTGCTATTTGGTTTGTTTACATGATTATTGTTTTTGTAAATAAATAGTTTTGATTGAGTTTACTTAAATGAGTTTTATAAATTAATTATTCTATATTAAGTATTAAGAATAACTTAGAAATAACCATATTTTCCAGGAAGCATTGGGAAATTTGGATCTTAATTTGGTTGGACTAAATCTTTATTTGATTCTTCATACCATTGGAGGATCACCCATGAATTAGACAAGGGCGGGTAATACAAGGACAAACCAGACTTTTCACAGAAAATATGACCATGTCTGAAGTCACTTGCTTAATGTCAAATGTGTATATTAATAAATAAAATAATACATATTTTACCTTGTTTTTTAGCCCAGTTGATGGCTGCCCTCCAAAGCTCAATCTCAGGCACATTGCAAAATTCTTGTTCCAGTATTCTCAAGAATGCACTAGAAGAGAGGTCCAGGAATTGAGGAGAGGCCAGTACACGGTCTGTTTCAAACTGCAGAATCTAAACATAAACAATGAAGCAACAGGAATTAAATGTTAGGCAGGTGAAGTAACCTAACAATGTGAATGAATCATATGAGACGTAGGAATTGGCTAGCTCTGGAACTTGCAAACTAGGTCGGGTGGTGGAACTGGCTACCTCTGGAACTGGCTAAACCGTCCCTGTCAGGAATTGGCTAACTCCAGAACTCGCTAAATTGATTTTGTCCTACGGCGGAATTCGCTAACTCTGGAAGTCGCTAACCCGACCGCTCCCACTGTACGGAGCGTTGCCGAACTTGTATGACGTGAGGCCAAACGAGGGTAAGATATGTTTGTTAACAGTACTCAATGGAAGGCAATAAGTAGCTACTTATAACCAGTGTGAAAATTAGCCCTCAGTTTCACTTCAAGACTTTTCTTATAAATATATTTGATTTTCACTGTAAAATCATTGAATTTAAAACTCATCATGTAAAATTGAATGTATGTACGTTTTTTTGTCGTAGGAGCCAAGATCCCGACAGCTACCCGGTACCTGTTTAACATTTAACCCGGGCCCCATGGTGTAGGCCGGAGCTTACGCACCAACCTTGGACACACCAGGAATACCGGTTACTTGGTCGCACGCACACTCCAAATGGGTACCCCAGGACTGAAACCCTGAAGGACCATAATGGAATGCTCTGAACGTAACACAGTGCAAGCAACACTTGGGACCTACCCAATCCCTGACAGGCCGAAAGCCAGGAAAGCCATCAAAGCCAGGAAGAGGGGAACGTCATTTCCCAACCCCCTATTTATGGTGTTTCGTAAAGGAGGCAAACTTGTAAACAATTTGATGATCGCGCGGTGACTGCGGAGTCATACCGACGATCCCGCCGTGACTGCGAGTCATTTTGACGTGCACCGTGACCGCGAGTCACAAGTTTCTATACCTGTAAATACTCAAGACTTTCTTTTTATGTACAGGAAAAAATCCCGTCCCAAAAATCAAAAAGGAAATAAAAATCCCGTCCATCGCTACTATTTGAGTAAGACTTGATGCATTTTCCAGTTTAATAATAATCTTAAAAATAATACAGTAGACTCCCTCTTATCCGGACACCTTTTAACCGGACACCGGTTTAACCGGACTACACTCGCCGGAAATGACATCTCTTTAACCGGACAATTTTTATCAGCACATCGGATTAACCGGACTAGATTGGCAGGAAGTGGGCGGTACTGAAACAACTGTTCTCGTGGGAAAGATTTGAGACCAGTGATCACGTATCTAAATACGTAATAATCATTATTAGCTTATACAGTATGCATTCGTCTGATCGTCTGCTACCTACCAAGTGCAATTGACTGTGTTCTTAAGTTCATAGAAGTTTATTTATTAAAAGTGGTTTTATTGAAAGCATAAGATCAACCAGTAACAATTTAATGTAACAGTGAGTGTTTTTGTACATATTGAAACAAGTCAAATAATTTATTTTTCATTTACCATTAATATAAAAACGATAATTACTTACTACCTACCAGAATGAGGTTATGCATGTTGATTTTTATTTGAACAAGTAGCATGATTTATCACCTTTTCAGCACTACTGAACAATTGCTAACTAAACTTTGACATCTATTTTACTTAAATATTACATTAAAAGTCTTGATTATTGATATTAAACTTGTAAATTTAACAAGATCTGGGTTGGAGACTAGCTCTTGCTTATTCCTGTTTGTTTATGCTCTTGAGCTATAATTTGGCGGCAAGAAGAAGTTTGAGTTCTCTGCACTTGCAGACGATGCTCAGCAACTTTAGTTTCCATGAATAAGAATAAGAATAAGAATAAGAATCCTTTATTGTCATTAGACACGGTTGTGCAATAGACATTGTCAAAGAAAACTATAAACTAGAAAATGTAACAGAGTCATGAACATTAACACAGTAGACCTTATATAACATACATGTAAAACTTAGCCTATATCACAGAAGAGATCACAGTTGTCAATTGAGAATAAATATCATAAAATAAAAATTGTTGAATAACAATGCATGTTACTTAAAATCTATAAAATCAGTAGCACTCAAATGCAAAAACTCATTAACAGAATAAAGTGGGTGCTTTAGAAGACCATTTGTTACAACAGTTTTAAAATTAGCAAAGGATTCAATATTCTTGACATGATGAGGTAGTATATTGTACAGTTTAAGCCCTATAACTTTAGAGCTTTTGGCTGTTTTGGTCAATCTACAAAAGGGAATGTCAATTTCATGCCTGAGCTTTGTGTTGTGGCTATGTACATTTAGCCGTTTTAACAAGAATACAGATTGTTTTTTTACTTCTAATAGAACATACAAAACATATAAACTAAAGACAGTTAACACTTTTTCATGGATAAAAATAGGCCTACAGTGCTCTGAGTAGTCAGCTGAAGCTAGTATTCTGACAGCTTTTTTCTGAACCAGTAAGACATCATGTACTCCAGCTGCATTTCCCCATAAACATATGCCATACAGTAAATTACTTTGAAAGAAACTATTGTAAGCAAGCTTGAGATATGACTTCGGGACATTTTTATCTAAAGATCTTAGTAAATATACAACTCTTGAAAGTTTGTTACAAATATAATCGGTATGAAATTGCCATGTCAATTTTCTATCAAGAACTAAGCCTAATAGTTTAACATTACTTAACCCTAATTGATCACAGGAGGGAGAATCACTAGCCTTGACATTTTTATTACTAAAAACTATGGTTTGAGTTTTGTCATTGTTAAGTATGAAACCATTGGTACTGAACCAGTTGGATACACTTTTAAGGGCACTTTCAGAATTCAAATTGACAGTTTTTATATCAGAACCAGCATTAAACAAAGTAGTGTCATCAGCAAAACATACAGTCTCAAATGGTACATTAACATCAATGTCATTAACCATGACAAGGAATAAAAGAGGTCCAAGAACCGAACCTTGCGGCACGCCAAAGGGTACAAGTCTCTTACATGAATACTGATTATTGACACAGACTATTTGTTCTCTATTATCTAGGTATGAGCTAAGAAGTGACAGAGTTGTATCAGTCACCTTGTAGTACTTTAACTTAGCCAGCAATGTCTCATGACAAACACAATCAAAGGCTTTACTGAGGTCACATAAGGTGACACCAGTATCGGCTTTGCTTTCAAGGTTTGCTAGGATTGCATCTACAAGATAGGTCACAGCTTGAATTGTAGATTTCCCAGTTCTGAAACCATACTGTATAGTTGAAAACAAGGAATTATCTTCAAAATAATTGTACAGCTGGTCATGTAAAATTCGTTCAAAAACTTTGGCAAAGACTGGAATTAAAGCTATTGGCCTATAACTAGCTGGGAGATCTCTGCACCCTTTCTTAAAAACAGGAACAACCTTAGATAACTTAAGCTTTGCAGGAAATACACCTTCAATAAGACAACTATTTATACAATAGGTTAAAGGCTCTACAATCACAGGTAAAATAGACTTTAGCACATCACTAGACAGGCCATAAATATCACGACTTTTAGAACTTTTTAGAAGCCGCACATGCCGCGCTACCTCCTCACATGACACTAACTTCCATTCCAAACCGGGTGCTGCAATGCTCTTGGTTTTGAGAAGATCCACTGCAGCCGAAGGAACGCCACCAGATTTCTCCGCCACCTCCAACACCGAGTCAATGAAGAAGTCGTTGAAGTCGTTTGGTTCCACAGAAGTATTGGGTTGATGTTTGCTGGAAGATTCTTTCCGAATGGCCTGCCAAGCTGCTCTACACTTGTTGTCGGATTTTTCAATACAGTCGGCAACAAACTGTTTTTTGGCAGTCCTCAGTTCTTGTTTATATGTCTTTCTATATTCAGTTAGAGCTTGAAGGGATGCTGAGGTTTTAAGAACATTGTGGCGATCAAGGAGAGCCATGAGGATACTTCTACTCTTCTTCAGGTCTTCATTGTACCAGGCTTTACCACCAGAGAACTGTCCACCGGAGTTGCAATTTGGGTCCCGCTTCTTCTGCAGCGGAAAGGACTCATGGAAACCAAGCAATATTTGGTCAAAAAATAAATTAAAAATTTCTTCAGAGTTTGTACCTAAGGCTAGTACAGACCAGTCAACACTGCTTAAAAACTGGAAGAAGGTATTTATTCGGGCTTCTGTTATGGGCCTATGGTATACAAGGGAGTTGGACTGTTCAAGATAAGTTTTCTCGGAATAGGCTAGGCGTATGTCTAAGTTAACTGCAGCATGGTCAGAAAGGCCATAATCCATAACTGTATTAATATAACTTGAATAATTGAGATCAGTCAAGATATTTTCGAGAACTGCATTACCTCTTGTAGGCGTAGAGTTGGTTGGATGTAAGTTGAACTGCCTGGATGTTTTGGGCCTGGATGTAAACCACTGTGTAGGAATCGGAACTGATAGTTGCAGTGTCATGGCTTCAGAAGCTGTTGGGGCGGTACGTTGCATACAAAAGACTGCAAAAAATGCTTGCCACTCTCCTTGCAGTAACCATGCACTGAACAACGCAATATCAAAAAGCTCTAGCTTACCCGTTATTCGGAACACTGTGGAGACTGTTAAGGCTATCGTAGCTTTTTTCAATGCATCTGCAAAGAGACAGATAGTTTTTAAAGATATATCCTGCAGTAGGCTAACTAGTCTTTGTGAAACGAGGTGGATTGAACGTCATGAAGCTCTTATCAAGTTTCTGGATTTGCTCCTGCCAGTGGTTGAGGCCCTAACGAAGATATCTCAGTGGCAAGACCGAAGTACCAGCACCATTGCTAATTCCCTCCTAAACTCGATATGCCATTCGGAGTTTATAATGGGACTACTAGCGCTCATTGATTTACTTAAAGAGACTATGCCTTTGAGTCGCTATCTTCAGTCAACCACACTTGATGTATCGAAGGCAGCCGATTGTTTTGAAAGGACAATTAAAATTCTTGGGGAAAAAAGGATCCATCCTGAAACATCTTTTAATAGAGTGTACAATGATGCTGTGGAAATAGCCA